CCATCGGACGTGCGATTGGCTGCTGCATGGTGCATGAAAAGAAAAAAGGCATTGGGTATTCTTGTGGAGAGTGGCATGAGGAATTGGAAAAGGTGGTGATGGGGTCTAGCTTCGAGGCCCCTCAAACGTGGACTTCTGTCACGAGAAATGGGGTTATGGGGGTGGTCTCAATGGCAGGCAATTTTTGGCATCGAGCAGCACAGCTTTGTCTTCACACGGATATTTTGAAGTTTTCCTCTACTGTTCAGGTCGCTTAAGCGGTTCTTTGAGCACTGCATGCAGCCCTTCTACTGTCAACAAAAAAAAAGGGTTATGCTATGCGAATGGTCTCAATGGCATCCGATGGATAACTTGGCACGTTAAAAAAGAAGAACATCAAATAGTGGAAAGTGAAAACGCCAGAGGCGAAGCAGGTCAGGAGGTGCTGTGCTGCGGCTGAAAGCGAAGACATGGAATCTGAAGGTTGCGAGGAACGTACATTGCGCACGATGAATCATTAGGAGTATAGAGAATGCTTACCAAACTCTTTAGTCTGTCGAGAGAAGCACGGTTTATAAAGGGTACAGTGAACTTACCTAGCCTGTCGAGGGCAGAAGGCGGCATGATGACTGATAGGAGGCACCATGCATCCATGGCATCCATGGCGGGGTTTTGATGTAGGGAAGGGCGGGGGGTCGGGTGGGGTGGGGAAAATGGGGGTGTGGGTTAGGGTATGGGCGGGAAGAGGAGCAAAAGAGAAGAGGGTTATGCGGCGGTGGCATGACGATTTATAGCAGCACCATGGCAGGTGGGTATGTGGTTGAAGACGATGTGACGGTAGGAGGAGAGGAGGATGCGAGCGACATGACACGTGACTGACACAACGGCTTTTGAGGCGCCTCAAATGACGGTAGGAGGAGGATGCGATTTTTGAGGCGCCTCAAAAATCGACACAACGGCTTTCGAGGTGCCTCAAAAGTGACGGTAGGAGGAGAGGAGGATGCGAGCGACATGACACGTGACTGACACAACGGTGATGTAGCTGTTATTGGAACTTCAAAATATATACAGACATCTAGTATATATGTACATATACATAAATACATATAGCAGCAACGGTGATTGTCCGGCGACTCCGGGTCGCATGGAATAGGGTAGCTGCGGGAAACGTGCTTCTAACAAACCCACACGGACCCACACACCCCCACACACCCTTCCCACACACACGTACAGACCCACAAACCTTTATCGCCATTCTCCAGATGAGCGTGGCAACAGCACGCAGAAAATTGGGGTAGCTACGGGAGCCGAGCATCGAACACACCCACACACTCCCACCCCCACACGCGCCCCCCCCCCCCTCCCCCCACACACACACTATGCACACACACACGTACAGACCCACGCACCTTTATCACCATTCTCCAAATGAGCCTGACAACCGCACGCAGAAGATTGGGGTGAGGGGGAACGGAGAGGGGGAGCGGGAGGGTGGGGGGAAGAGGGGGAAGGGGGGAGGGGGGGGTTGGGGACCGGGTGAGAAAAAGAGAAACGGAGAAAAAGGACGAAGGGAGGGGGAGGGGGAGGGGGAGGGGGAGGGGGTTAGGAAGATCGGGATGAGAAATTGAGAAATGTTAGATGAGCTGTGGGTACGCCTTGTCTGTGCGAGATCGGGGTATGCCTTGTCCGTGCGAGATCGGGGTATGCCTTGTTTGTTTGTCAAGGCAGGACGGACGGGATGGGGTACCCATAAGAGCTATGAATTGCACGCACCCTTTACCATACTATAAAGGAGATGGGGTCCACGTGGAAGCTCCCAATCGCAGCTTAAAACGAACACTACTTCACGAAAAATAAGTTGTTGATTGCACCTTATCTATGAACGAGACGGGGCACACGTGGAAGCTCTGCTCGAAGGAGCCTAGGGGCTGGCCCACACCTTTTGCGTCACTACGCCTTTTGACTCACTACGCCTTTAGAGTCACGATGCCTTTCGAGTCACTACGCCTTTTGAGTCACCCCTATAGCCACCTTTGCCCATGGAACGCACTGCACCTTATCGATGAAGGAGACGGGATAGACGTGGAAGCTCTGCTCAAAGGAGCCTAGGGGCTGGCCCATGCCCCCAAACGGTGGGAAATACTGCCACGGAGGGGGAGAGGGAGGGGAAGGGGGGGGCGGGGGGGAGGGGGGTTTGGATTGGATATGTCAGAAACCAATCCCAAGGAGGGAAGTAGGGACAACGATGCATATCTCTGAAGAGCATATGGGGGCTAGCCCATGCCCCCAAACGGCGGGAAGTGCTTCAAGGAAGGGTGGGGGAAAGAGGGGTGCGAGTGAGGGGGGAGGCAGGAGGGGGGAAGGGGAGGGGGGGGAAGGGGGGCGGGGGAGTACTATTTTAGGAAGTAGAAGATGGCCATTCTGCTATGAAGGATAGCATAAAAATTGAGATTCTGCAGAGTGTTTTTGAGAATTCTCAAAAACACTTCGTAAAAAGTGAGATTCCAGAGAAAGCTGGCGACGACGATTGCCAAAAAATGCAAACGTCAGTCAGTCAGTCAGTCAGTCAGGTCAGGTGGTTGGTTAATGAGCTGACTTCACCTTCACAGCTTTCCAGAATTCTAAGAAACACCCACCACATCAAAACTGCTATTATGAAGGAAAAGCGAGGTGGATTTTCCAGCTTCCAGTGAAAGCTGGAGATGAAATGAAAATGGTCAGGTGGCTCCTGAGGTGTCTATGGAGTAATCGGGCGTTCAAAGATTCTCGAAAACCGACCACACCAGAGGTCCAGAGCTGCTAAGAAGGGAAGGTGAGTTTTTAGTGAGTGTCAGCGAGACAACGGACATGCGCCTCTTGACATGGCTCAGGTGTGCGTCCCCAGAGGGAGAGATTTTTTTCAGGTGCCTCGAAAGTCCATCGAGGTGATGCTCAGGTAGTTTCTCAGGTGGTTTCTCAGGTGATCCCAGGTGCATCACATCGAGGTGATGCTCAGGTGGTTTCTCAGGTGCCGCAGGGATCTCGATTCACATGGAGACGGGAACCAACCTGGATCCAGAGAATTGCAAAAGACAGCTAGGTCCAACCAACCTCACAAACCAAACCACTGATAGGTTATGGCATCTGAAAATAGGCAGGCAGGGCGCAACTCCAAATGCATTCAGGCTTTTAAGAAATTTAATTAAACTGATACAACATAGGCAGACAGGACGCACCACACCACCTCCACATGCAATCACGACTGGCACGACGGCAAGGTTGGACCGTTGTAGCGGGTGGGCGAGATTGGAAATCGCAGCCCTACTAGGACGAAAGGGCCTCTTAACTGCGTATATCAATCATGTGCCTTACCTAAGTCGGTTTTCTATGTCATTCACAAACCAGGGGAGTAATCCCTATCATGCGAAGCAAGCATTGACGCCAGTGGTTTGCTTTTGAGTCGACTCAAAGACTCCTGTGAAAAGGTCCGTAGGTGACTTTTGAGTCGACTAAAAAACCATTGACGCCGGTGGTTTGCTTCTGAATCGACTCAAAAGCGTTTTCTACGTCACACAACAAACCAGGGGAGAAACCCCTATCAAGGGAAGCAAGCATCGACGCCGGTGGTTTTCCCAAGGAGACGCGAATCCGACAAGGTAAGGCTATGGTGACGTCTCTCACACAGCAAGGGGGAAGCCTGCTTGGTTGTTGCAAATTGACCTTACCATGACGGCTGGGAGGGAGGGAGGGTAACCTGCTTGGTTACAGGATCGCCTTACCATGACGGCTGGGAGGGAGGGAGGGTAACCTGCTTGGTTACAGGATCGCCTTACCATGACGGCTGGGAGGGAGGGAGGGTAACCTGCTTGGTTACAGGATCGCCTTACCATGACGGCTGGGAGGGAGGGAGGGTAACCTACTTGGTTACAGGATCGCCTTACCATGACGGCTGGGAGGGAGGGAGGGTAACCTGCTTGGTTACAGGATCGCCTTACCATGACGGCTGGGAGGGAGGGAGGGTAACCTGCTTGGTTACAGGATCGCCTTACCATGATGACGAAGTGGTGCTGATGATTTGCTCTAGAAGTCGCAAATCTGGTAAGCATAGTTTCGAGGCTCTAGAAGACGCAAAACTAGGCACGTAAGGCTGTAAATAGGCCGCTCACACAGCAACAGGGTAACCTGCTAGGTTACAAAGTCCCCTTACCTGACGGTGTGATTTGAGTCGACTCAAAATACACCTGAGTCGACTCAAAATAAACCTGCTAGGTTACAAAGTCCCCTTACCTGACGGTGTGATTTGATCCAGAAGTCCGTGAGACGAGTCGAAATGAAACACGAAATCTCGGAAGGTCACCCAAGAGCAACGGTTGCCAGGATAGACGCTGTCGATTTCATCCAGGAGTCCCTGAGACGCGTTGAATCACGAGTTGACGCCAGTGATTCGCAATGATTACTTCTCTTACACTCAGCACGACGGTAACCTGCTCGGGTTACAAAATCGCCTTACCATGGTGACGGATTGACGCTGTTTATCCGGTCCGGAGGTCCGTGAGACGTAATTTGTCCTCCACGCGGACTAGACTCGAGCTTGCTTAAAAGCGCACGCGATCAGCTATACGGCGACGCGGACGATCGAGGACGATCGAGGACGATCGAGGGCTCTAGCGTGCAGAAACCTAGTCGTTACGACTCTGACAGAATCGTTACGCCTCTGACAGAATCGTTACGCTCGGCTCGCGATCAGCTACACGGCGACGAGGACGACCGAGGCCTCTAGTGTGAAGAAACTTGGTCACCGTGGTAACCTTCACCTGCTGCTAGACTAACGCCGGCCTGAGCTTGTGAGGAGCGGAGGGAAATGAACAGACTCCATGAATGTGACAGAGCAGGGTGCGGTACGTTACGGTACGGTAACTTACGGTACGGTAGTGATGCTGCTGGGTGTGCTAGGCGATGGGATTTCCCTCGAAGGCGGAAACAGATGATTCGTTTCAATACATACAAACCGCATGGTATTCTATGCAGGAGTGCATCTACGTCCACAAACTCGTGCTTTATTGATACATATGATATGGCATATATGAGGAAGCACACACTTCGTATATTTTATTAAATTACAAGAAGCAAGATGGAAAGGGAAATGGAACATTGACATGCGATACTAAGCATCTCAAAACGTCAACATGCGATCAGTAGAGTACCCCATCCCCTCCAGCAGAGGCGTCATCGCCCTAATCATAGGCGGAGGGCCACACATCAGCGCCAGGCTGTCCTCCCCGCCACACGGCAGCCTCTCATTGGCCATCTCAGCAGTCACAAACCCGACCCCATACTTCCACCCTTCAGGCACAGGTTCCCCCCACAGTGTACCAAACATGGAACCGATCAGGGTACTGTTCAGCCCACCGGTCCATTTCGTCTTGTAGCAGCACGTCAGCTACAGTCCTGTTCCCAAACAGCACCCACATCTCCGTCTTATCCTCAGGATCGGCTAGAATCGCTTTTGCCACCTGATAAATGGGGGTAATCCCCGTGCCGCCCGCCAGCATCCCCAGTTTCTTCGCCTGCTTCTCCTCCCCACTTACCGAGAACTTTCCTCTCCCAAGGTACTCAATATGCCCCAAGGGCCCCTTGATCTCGATAGTATCACCGATCGAAAGTGACTCTAGGTGCTGTGACATAACGCCGCCGTCCGGAAACTGCGGCACAACGCCCTTGAAATAAATCTTAACCACCAGGTCGAAATACCCGACCCCATCCTCATCCGAGGTGGTCGGCGTGTACGCCCGCATCACCAGCTTGCCGTCCACTTTGGCGCAAACAAACAAGTGCTTGCCGACTGGGAGGCCAAGGATGTGGTTGGGCGAGGGGAGGGCGAAGCGGAAGCGGCGGACATCGGGGGAGAGGGCGAGCTTTGAGAGGAGGGGCACGGGGATTCGCTTCTTTGGGTCGAGGGTGGTGGGATGGAGAGGGGTGGGAGAGGCAGCGAGAGGGGCCGGAACAGGCGTTGCAGAAGCAGCAGCAGCAGCAGCAGCAGCAGCAGCAGCATGGGGAGCAGGGGCAGGAGCAGGAGCAGGAGGGGCAGCAGTGGCAGCAGCAGTATCTGCAGCAGCCCCCATAACCGTTCCCTCCTCCTCACCCTCCTCTGCCACATCCCCAATATAATACTCCTCCAGCATCTTCTTAGCCTTCTCTGAGTGTATCGCGTCAAACTCCTCCGTTACGTCCGTGCCAGCATTGATGGTGATGCTCTCACTCCCCCCCGGGTGATCCTTGAGAAACTTGGTGCAGTCATACACCCGCCCATGCACCACGATCCACGGTGAGGATTCGTCTGCGTGCTGCTCGATCTCAGCCATCAATATCTTCCGACCGGACGAGCCAGACGGCACTGCCGAACCAGCCGCCGAACCTGCTGCTGCCGAAGCGGAAGGAGAGGAAGACGGTTTCAGCGAAGGAAGCTTCTGGGAGGCAGCAGACAGGTCTGCTGACTTGAGCACTGCAGCAGACGACCCCCCATGCGCCACACCCCCTCCTGCTGCTGCTCCTGCAGCGACTGCGGTGGCTCCGACTGCTCCACCTGGGCTTTCCCCTGGGCTGTCGTACATCCATCCTCCCTGAAGGTTGCCGGGGCGAGTGGGGTGAACGAACTGGAGGCCGATGGAGCCGGCTGCTGTGACTGTGGGGGTGACTCGGACTCGGAACCAGCAGTTGTTCATCATGCCCTGGTGGGGGGAAGGGGGAAGGTTCAAAAGGAAAGAGACTGTAAGCCAGTGGTTCCCCTGCTGTGACTGGGGGCTGCGCGCTCTCGGAACCAGCAGTTGATCATTATGCCCTGTTGGGGGGAAATGATTGGAACGGTGGCAGGCAGGGGCAGAGCGAAGCAGGGGCAGAGCGAGGCTCGGACCAGCAACAGTTTTTGGGACGTTTCAGAAACTGACGAGCATGGCAAATCCACACTAGCGTGGCTGCGCAACCAATTCCACGTCACCAAGATACGCCACGTCAGCAGCACAACTCACCATAACATTCCACGTCAGCTTATCCGGCTGTGTGTTGGTGGCCTCGTCCCACGCCCGCACGGCCACTTCCTTCACCCCTACAAGATCCACCACAGGCACTGCTGTCGCCCACAGGCTCCACGTCCAGTGCTTGCCGTGGCTGGTGGAAGCAGCGGGAGGGAGGGAGGGAGGGAGGGAAGCAAGGGGAGAGAGGTAGAGGAGGGAGAAGAGAGGAGGGAGAAGAGAGGAGGGAGAAGAGGAGGGAGAAGAGAGGAGGGAGAAGAGAGGAGGGAGAAGAGAGGAGGGAGAAGAGAGGAGGGAGAAGAGAGGAGGGAGAAGAGAGGAGGGAGAAGAGAGGAGGGAGAAGAGAGGAGGGAGAAGAGAGGAGGGAGAAGAGAGGAGGGAGAAGAGAGGAGGGAGAAGAGAGGAGGGAGAATGGAGGATTAATTCACTGAATAGGGGGGAAGAGAGGGACGTGGGGTGAAGGGGAAGAGAGGAGGATAACAAGAGGAGAGCGAGAGAAGTAGGGGAAGAGGGGGGGCGAGGGTATCGCACTCAGCAGGGGTATGGCACTGTAATGAATCTACTTTTGAGTCGACTAAAAACTAGACTCATTACACACAGCAGGGGTATGGCACTCAGCACTCACCGCGTGGGCGGGCTGGGGTGGGTGATGTCACACAGCCGCCACGTGTTCCCTCCGTCCAATGTGATCTCGACACGTGTCACTTTCCTGCCGCCCCCGAGTATGCATACCCCTTCAAGGTCAGCTGCTGCATCCCCGCGCCGCCCTCCAACGCCACCACATCCCCGTGGTCCGGACTAACTATGGCAGAGTTAATCGCCAGCTCGTTGCAAATATACTCCTTTTTGCGCCACCACCCGTCCCTAGCAGCCGTTTCCGCGTCCACGTGTGAAGGCAGCACACGGTTATCGTGAAAATGGTAGTAGTTTTGGGACTCTCCTCGGGTAACCTCCACTTTTTTCAGCCACTTGACCATCCGCCCGCCGATAAATCCAGGGATAATTACCCTGATGGGGAACCCGTGGTCGGGCGAAAGAACCTGCCCGTTTTGCTCGTAGGCTAGCAAAACTTCATTCGCGGGGTCCATTACCCTCGATAACTCCATACTAGTTCCGTAAGTACTCCCTCCTCCTCCAGGCAGCGTTTCCGCTCCTTCGAAGCACACGAATTTCCCAGCGTTCTTCCCTTTTAGCTGAACGCCGCACTTTATAAGTACGTCTCTTAGCAAAACGCCCTTCCACACTGTCGTCGCCGCGCCTCCCGCTCCCCAGCTGAACCCGATCGTCTGCTTAACCGCGTTCTGCTCCTTACGCCTGTTTCCCACGCACACTAGCAGCACCGGAAGCCTCCTGGAAGGCATCGCGAGCAGATCCGCCATTGACAGGCTGGCCGGCTTGCTGACTAGACCGGAGATCTCGATGCGCCACGTGGACGAATCCAGGCGCGGCACGTAGCCGTGGTTCCGAACGTAGTGAAGAGGCACGGGAGTGATGAACCCCGAAGCTGGGTCCGAACGCGAGGCGGAAATCGAGCCTGACGCCGAGCCTGCATCCGAAGCAGAGCCCGAGCCTAAACCGGAGGTCAGGAGGCGGGAGAGCGGCGGCTCGCAGTTGAAAGGGTGCTTGCCGGTAAGACGCACGAGAGAGGGATGGCGGGGGATCCACCTGCGGGGAGGGGAAAAGGGGGGGAGGGGGGGGGGGGAAGAGAGGGGTGGGGAAAGAGGGGAGCTGAGAAGGAAGGGAAAGCGAGAGTGGGGACGGAGCGCAAGAGCGGCGGCTCTATTGAAAGTGAGCGGCGGCTCGCAGTTGAAAGGGTGTTCTCCAGTGAGACGCACGAGAGAGGGATGGCGGGGAATCCACCCGGAAAAAGGGGGAAGGGGGGGGGGGGGGGGGGGGGGGGGGGGGGGGGGGGGGGGTGGAAGGGAGGGGGTGGAGGGGGGGAGGGGGTTGGGGAGTAAACGAAGGGGAAGCGAGCGTGAGGAAACGAGGAGGAGAAAATGTGAAGGAGATTAGGGGAGGGGAGGATTGCAGGGAGGAGGGGAATGCTCGGTCTACTACCGGGGAAAGCGGGACGAGAACGTGAGCCTCCTGAGCATGCGCGTTAGTGGCCACTCAAAACACGGAGCTCGTCTAATACCAAGAAAGTGCCAAGGGGTTGTCTGTCCTAAGCGCGCCGAGCCCGGGGAAAAAAGGCGGGAAATAGGCGAGCTTTGACGTCTAGCTAGGCGAAAACATATGGGGGCTTCAAACACGCGACGAAGTTCAGAGGCGACGGGCGAAACAGATACTAGGGATACAAAAATTGCGCGAGATCAGCCCTCTGTTACGCGTGCCAGAAATAAAAAGGAGAAATAACAGGGAGTTGGCAAAACATGATTACTCAATAAATAAACCACGAACTCCACAGAACAGGAATGAAACAACGTGATACTCAACAGAAGTGGAATGAATTATTTTACGTGCATGCGGTTACCGTACCGCATGCGAAGCAGCACTAGTTTTCATTTTCAATGAAGATTCGAGCACCATGCTCTGACGGACGTACTTGTCTGGCGTGTTCGCGTCGCGGGCATCAATAGAATCAGATTCATCCGCCACTAACGGATACTCGTACTCCTCTTCCTCCTCCTCATAATCCTCCTCCTCCGCCCCCTCCGCTCCCTCCGCTTCCTCTTCCCCCTCGCCGGTCGCCTTGATCCCGTTCTCGCTGACTCCATTCGCAGCAGCAGTAGCACCCGCAGTACTAGCAGAACCGTTCGCCTGCGCTCCGTGCTTCGCGAAATCGCTGCCGTTGCTGGTAACCGCAGCAGGTGAAACGATGCTGTCTGCTGCTGCGACTTCCACAGACGTCTTTTTCAGGTCCCCAGAGGCATTCTCAGAGTTCCCGACACCGTTGGCCATGGTAACCCCATTCGCGAAATCCCCGTCGATTTCGCAAGCCTCCCCTCCTTTCGTCATCACGCCATTCGCCGAAACGCCGTTTGGCACAGAGCCGGCGACGGCCGCAACGGCGACGCCACAAGATTCCTGATGGGCGACCATTGCGACAACAGCAGCGAATAGAGCGAAACCTGAACGAAACCCACGAAACAGTTTCGCGAGCGTGATTAAAAGGAAGATTGTTTCTCGCAGACTCTCAGCCTGGAAAAGCGTCCCTGCTACGCGACTCGCAAGGGCCAGACGGAGAAACTAAGCTGAGCCGCTGAGCAAACTAGCCAAGTCGAATCCACTCTTATGTAGTTGTAAGATAGCAGGGAGAAACTCTCTCAAGCACAACGACCCTCGAGCGACGCGGATCGCGGAGAGACACACACCAGCGACCAGCGCTCAGGGGTTACCGAAGAGCGCGCGGTGCAGCTGGACTACTGTAGTAGAACTGTAGAGCTCATCGACGCCTGCTCGGCCCGGTGGCACAGGGGTGCGAGAGCGAGGGGGAGGGAGGAAGGCGGAAGGCGCGGAAGGCGCGGAAGGCGCGGGAAGGCGCGGGAAGGCGCGGGAAGGCGCGGGAGGCGGAAGGAGGGGGGCAAGAGGTGACGAGACGAGAGGTGAGGGAGGTGACATGACGCGAGGCGCGGAAATCGGAATGATTTCGAGAAGGAGCCGACCACCGACCGACCAGCCTGACCCAGAAGCGCTTTCTGATTGGTCGGCTGGTAGCGGGGCAGTGGGGTCGAGGAGGCTAAGGGCAGCGACGAACGGCTGGAGACGAGACGACTTTCTAAGAACAGGCTGGCAGCGTTTGCACCCGACCCGAACCTACGTTGCCTTAGTAAGTTAGCGTGGTTGGCTGTTACTGGTGGCTACGACGTTTTGACGGCCTTTCGCGAGGGTCGGGTGTTAGGTAAGGGTGCCACGATGGATTCTAAAACTCGCCGAGAAAATCGAAGGGCTCCTTCAAGGGAGATCGAAGCAAGTTGCTTACCTCGATTCGAGGAGTGCCAGGGAGATCGAACGGCTGGCTCGGAGCTAGTCGTGGCTGTTCGCGGGAGTTGCGAGCCCATGAAAAGCGGATGGAGACAGCGATGGGAAGAGGATGAAGCGGATGAACCACCAGTTTGGTAAGCTTGGCTCTTGCGGGTCCTCGGACGCTGCCTCCTACAGTGTCAAAACCACTGGTTGGCAATCAGGGCTGGATAGGTGGATTGGATCAGCTACGTGTGAGAGGCAAGAGGAGAAAAGTATTTGTGGTGTGTAATAGGCTAGGTGGTGTAGGGCATCCGAGCAATGCGATAGGCAGAAGGTTCAGACGACACAGGTCGCCGCTAACACCGATTTGCTGCAGCCATGGCTTTTGGTTGGGCCTTGGCTTTCAGCCATGGTTTTTGGTCCCAAAGAGATACGAAAAGGCACGAGGAGGGGGGATAGGAGAAAGGAGGCGATCTTTGGGCTGATGTTACCCTGAGGACAGCCAAGCCCCATAAGTTTAATCCTTGATACTAAGGACACCCTGAATAGTTTCCTTAAGAGTTTCACACTCAAACTTCTAAGGGCTAGGGGATGACACGCGGAAATATACAGGACCCAGGGCAAGTGGAGAAACTGGGTCCGGTTTCGCATTCCACTTAAAAACTTCAGGGCAATCCTTAGATGGAGCCATCCACACTTCAGAAGACTTGCCCTGCCCATCAACAATTTCGGTGACTACTGTACCCAAAAACAAAGTGTGTGAGTGTGGTGCAAAGGGCTTAGTGTTGTTGAGCATTCGCGCGTGTCCTTCACACCGCTGACCGTTGGCATGTCTGGGGAGCGCTCTCAACAGCCAATCCGCGAGCTCATAGGGGGACAAAAGCTCGAGTGTCGCTCACTGATTCGCTGAACGAGAAGCGGGTCAGGTCATGCAAATGCAAACAGGAAAGCAGTGGTTGAAGCAAACGTGGGAGGATGGAGTGCACACGATTCACTAGGAACCTGTCTCACTTAAAGAAACAAATCTTCATAACAAATAATGCTCGTATACACGATGGTTCATATTTCCTCAGCTTTTACAATGCACTTTCTCACCCGTGTCGACCTCTTCACTATCCTCCTCTTCACTACTATCATCCTCGTCAGAATCACTTTCATCCTCGTCAGAATCACCTACATCTTCAGAATCTTCATCTTTGGCTAAGCAGGAAACTCTAATGGTGGGGAATTCTAAAATCGTGCGTCCCGCAAGCTGTGTGCGAAGAGTTTGGCTAGTTTCCAGCTCACACAACTGCCATGTTCCATGCAAGGGGAAAAAAAGGGGGAAGGGGGGGAAGAGGGGAGAGGGGGGAGGGGAAGGGGAGAGAAGAGTTTGGCTGGTTTCCAGCTCACACAGCTGCCATGTTCCATGCAAGGGGAAGGGAAGGAGTTAGGGAGGAGCGAGGGGGGACAGGGGGACACAACAAAGTGCACATTGGTCAGCCAGAGAAGAACATCAGTTGTCAAAGATGAAACCAAGCGAAACAACAAGCAAGACAAGACATACATCACATTGAACATGGCGTATGCCCTTCAGCATACAGCATGATACATGAACGCATTATAAAGAGCACATAGAAAAGCTGAGAAAATACCTCTCCCAACGCGACTGCTGGCTGGAGGAAGCGAAGGGGCCAAAAATGCAGCTGCTGTTGGCGGTGCTATTATTGCACGTTAAAAGAACAAAGGCAGAACCATACCTGTGAAGGCGGCACCTCCAGCTGCAGCCTCAGCCGCTGCAGCACCTCTCCCAACGGGACTGCTGGCTGGAGGCAGCGAAGAGGCCAACGATGCAGCTGCTGTTGGCAGTGCTGCTATTGCACGTTTAAAGAACAAAGGCAGAACCATACCTGGGAAGGGGGCACCTCTAGCTGCAGCCTCAGCCGCTGCAGCACCTCTCCCAACGGGACTGCTGGTTGGAGGCAGCGAAGAGGCCAACGATGCAGCTGCTGTTGGCAGTGCTGCTATTGCACGTTTAAAGAACAAAGGCAGAACCATACCTGGGAAGGCGGCACCTCTAGCTGCAGCCTCAGCCGCTGCAGCACCTCTCCCAAAGAGACTGCTGGCGCTACAGCCGGTGGCGCAGATGCAGATTTTGTTGGCAGTGCTGCTGCTGCTGCTGCTGCGGTTGCTGCTGCTGCTTTTGAAGCTGCTGCTGCAGCGGGGGCCTTGAGTGCTTGCCTCAGGGCTGCTTCTGCTGCTGCCACCAGCGCCTCATCTTCTGAAACTCTGAGAGCAAGATAAGGCGGACCACGGAGTCGTTTAAGTCGCGCGACCACGGAGGCGGGTTAGCAAGAGGACGAACAGACCACGGAGGGAGGCGTTTTGAGAGTGAGAGGGGAGTGTCTAAACGTGAAATCAAGGCAAAAAACCACTCTCAAACCACTCCGTTTAAAAACCAAGGGGAAAAACGCCTCCCTCCGTGAGGTTTTTCCGAGAGGTTTTTTTGGGGAGTGTCTGAACGGCAAATCAAGGCCAAAAAAAAACCAAGGGGAAATATCCGCGCGGACGGTTCAAACTTCCAACATACTGTGCAGGAAGAGCAAACGCATTCAACTCACTTTGATTGTCAAGAATTAGAATTTGAAACTGAACTGACCAATGAGGAAAAGTAGCGTGCCTTGTGTATTTGCCGACCCACATGGTGACTATGGTGTGGGGGAGAATGACTCACATGGTATCTATGGTTGGGAGGAGGATCACGGTGGAGGTAAAGGCTGCAGCCTTTGATGACTGTGGGAGCGATAGGCCCTGCAAACTTGCTGTGTCGCCTGGGGTATCGCCCTTGCGGCTGCTGCTTGTTGTGTTGCTGGTGCCTTGGGTGTTGATGCTACTATTGGCATCGATGCAAATCGACCGGATTGCGAACTGCCATCGCACATGCCACATGATACACCGTTTCCTGTGACATGCACATGCATGCACACACACACACACACACACACACACACACACACACACACACACACACACACACACACACACACACACACACACACACCACACACCCCCTCAGCACACACGCACACACGCACACACCCACACACGCACACACGCACACACCCACACACGCACACACGCGCGCGCGCGCACACACACACACAGACACACACACACATAGACACACACGCACACACACCAGTGCGTGCGCACTCACGGAAACACACACACATCCCGCCCCCCGATTCCTTCTTCCGCCCTCCCACTCAAACGTGCTCAAATACATGCACCCGCAAAAACAAGGGGGCAGAAACGAGCCTGATCAGTATCAGTAGCAGCAGCAGTTAACCACTTGTCGCACCACCATGGCTGTCAGTCAGTACGTATGCAGGTGCAGTGAGCATCTCTCACATCTCACTAGCGTGACTGTGGCAGGTTTGAGGGTGCTTTAGGGACCCAAGACGATTTTTGAGGTGATTTTTGAGTCTTGAGGTGATTTTTGAGTCGACTCAAAAATCACCCAAGACAATTTTTTTGGCGCCTCAAAAACTGTGGCAGGTATAATGAGTCTATTTTTTACTCGACTCAAAAATAGACTCATTACACACAAAAACTGTGGCAGGTTTGAGGGTGCTTTAGGGACCCAAGAAGGCAGCAAGAGACAGCGATGGAGGGAGGGAAGAGAAGGGATGGGGAGAGGGCGTGAGGAAGAGCAGGAGAAAAAGGCGGTTTTTACAGGTAAATACGTTTTTTACAGGTAAAGACGGATTTCACTGGTGAACACAATTTTTCAATACAGGAGAACAGGGGCTTCCTGTGTTGACCAAAATTCGTTCTTCTGTAAAAGAACGTCTTCTGCGTGTGTGTGTGTGTGTGTGTGTGTGTGTGTGTGTGTGTGTGTGTGTGTGTGTGTGTGTGTGTGTGTGTGTGTGTGTGTGTGCGTGCGTGCATGCATGTGTGTGAGGACCAGAACCGTACCTGTGCTGGAGGATCATCTTGTTGGCCTTGCGTTTGGCTTGGACATGCCTGGTGGCACGCAGCCAAGCCACAATACTTTTGGGAAGCCCAGGGAGCACTGACATGGGGACTAGATCCTGCTGCTACTGGTGCTGCAAGAACGTATTGTTTGCCTTGCGCTTGCACATGCCTGGGGGCATTTGGCCGGGTTGACTGTGGGGAGGATTGGAAAGGTGGGGTCTGTGTGTGTCGGAGGGGACTAGCACAGTACCTGTGTTGGAAGTAAGTTGGGCTTGCACTTGGACATGTATGGGCGTACCTGTACCTGTACAGGTCCAGTTACTGGAAGTAACTGTGTGTTGGAAGTAAGTTTTGTTGGCCTTGCACTTGGACATGTATGGGCGCACTCGGCCACATCAACTGTGGAGTGGGTTGGGGGAGTGGGGTTTGTCCGTGCGAGGGAACCAGAACCGTACCTGTGTTGAAAGTACGTTTTGTTGGCTTTTGAGTCGACTCAAAAGCTGTGTTGAATTGAAAGTACGTTTGTTGGCCTTGCGCTTGGACATGTATGGGGGCATCAGCAGCATTGCGGGCTCAAATTGTGCACTGGGGAAGTGCATTTTGGGTGTGTGGGAACCAGAACAGTACCTGTGTTGGAAGTACGTTTTGTTGGCCTTGCGCTTGGACATGCCTGGGGGCATCAGCAGCAGCTGCACGCCCCTCTGTCGTGCCGTCTCCTGCATGCGGTGCCAGTGCTTGCCCACCTGATACGGTAAAAATGTTAAGGGAGAGTTGGAGCGTATGGGACGTGGAGCAAGGGTGAGGGGGACAAGGGTAGCAGCTGCACGCCCCTCTGCTGACCGTCTCCTGCATGCGGTGCCAGTGCTTGCCCACCTGATACGGTAAAAGGGTTAAGGAAGAGTTGGGGCGTATGGGGCGTGGAGCAAGGGTGAGGGGGACAAGGGTAGCAGCTGCACGCCCCTCTGCTGGCCGTCTCCTGCATGCGGTGCCAGTGCTTGCCCACCTGATACGGTAAAAGGGTTAAGGGAGAGTTGGAGCGTATGGGGAGTGGAGCAAGGGTGAAGGGAACAAAGACAGCACCTGCACGCCCTCTGTCGCGCCGTTCCTGCATGCGGTGCCAGTGATTGCCCACCTGACAGGGGTAAAGGGTTAAGGAGGTGTTGGCGTATGGGGAGTGGAGCAAGAGTGAAGGGAACAAGGACAGCACCTGCACGCCCCTCTGTCGTGCCGTCTCGCGCATTCAATGCCAGTGCTTCCCCACTCTTGGGGAAACAAGCACTGGCATCACTGGCAGTGGTTGCACGTGAAGGTGACAAAAAAAAACGGGGGGGGGGGGGGGGGAAGAGGGGGGGGAAGCGGCACCCTCGTAAGAGCAAAGTAGCGCAGAGGCAGAGCGGCTAGGCAGCATCGGCAGCAGCTGCACCCTCCTCTGAGGTGAATTTTGAGTAGTGCTGCACCCTCCTCAAAAGTGCCGTGCGTTAAGACTTTTGAGTCGACTCAAAAGTCACCTAGTAGCCCAGAGGCAGATCATCAGCATGGCGGCATCAACAGCAGCTGCACCCTCCTCTGTCTGGGCGTCTGCTGCACGCAGGGCCAGTGCTGGCTGACCTGATGCAGGAAAGAGAAGGTATATGGGGAGTGGAGCAAGTGTGAGGGGGACAAGGGCAGCAGCTGCACCCACCTCTGTCTGGCCGTCTGCTGCACGCAGGGCCAGTGCTGGCCGACCTTATTCTTAGAAGAGTGGGTGACCTATATACGCTAAGCTGTAGACGCCGCGAGGGCATTGTGTCCTAAGTTGGACGACCTAGAGTGGCTGTGTGAAACGAGTTGACATGCTTCAGGAATGTTCTAAGTTTGAAGTTGCGCGATGCTTGCATGTGAGCTGCTTGGGAGAATGTCAGGGAGACGTTTGGTGAGGAGAACGGGAGGTGGGGTGCCAACAAACTGGGGTTGGGATAATCGCATCGCTGCCGCATTGCGAGTATCGCGCTGTGCGCGAAATCATTGTTGCAGGGCACGAAGTACACCAGATCGTTAGCGAACTGCTGTACACTTCGCAATGGCTTCGTCAAACGCGGTCTGACAGTTCGGGATTTCGCGCTTCGGGAAAACTTTGACCCGACAGCTCGCTTCATTTTTTTGCCAGGCATAACCCAACCCCGCAAATTTGCATACCCGATATACGTCGACATAATTTGGCTTTAAAAAAAAGACCGAAAACAAACGATCGTACGTTTTAAACGAGACCAAAAAAGGACACTTCAACCGTTTTTAACCGTTTTAAACGGTCTAAAACTTTGGTACCGTACAGAACGGAAAAAAAGGGGAAAAGGTCGTTTTTTGCGCCTTGCTGCACATCACTCATTCTGCACACTCACTCATTCTGCACACTCACTCATTCCGCACACTCACTCATTCTGCACACTCACTCATTCCGCACACTCACTCATTCTGCACACTCACTCATTCCGCACACTCACTCATTCCGCACACGCACTCATTCCGCACACTCACTCATTCCGCACACTCATTCATTCTGCACACTCACTCATTCCGCACTCTCACTCATTCTGCACACTCACTCATTCCGCACACTCACTCATTCCGCACACTCACTCGTTCCGCACACTCACTCATTCCGCACACTCATTCATTCTGCAAACTCACTCATTCCGCACTCTCACTCATTCTGCACACTCACTCATTCCGCACACTCACTCATTCTGCACACTCACTCATTCCGCACACTCACTCATTCTGCACACTCACTCATTCCGCACACTCACTCATTCCGCACACTCACTCATTCTGCACACTCACTCATTCCGCACACTCACTCATTCTGCACACTCACTCATTCTGCACACTCACTCATTCCGCACACTCACTCATTCCGCACACTCAATCATTCTGCACACTCACTCATTCTGCACACTCACTCATTCTGCACACTCACTCATTCTGCACACTCACTCATTCTGCACACTCACTCATTCTGCACACTCACTCATTCTGCACACTCACTCATTCTGCACACTCACTCATTCTGCACACTCACTCATTCTGCACACTCACTCATTCGGGCACACTCACTCATTCCGCACACTCACTCATTCTGCACACTCACTCATTCGGGCACACTCACTCATTCCGCACACTCACTCATTCTGCACACTCACTCATTCTGCACACTCACTCATTCCGCACACTCACTCATTCTGCACACTCACTCATTCTGCACACTCACTCATTCTGCACATTCACTCATTCTGCACACTCACTCATTCTGCACACTCACTCATTCTGCACATTCACTCATTCTGCACACTCACTCATTCTGCACATTCACCATTCTGCACACTCACTCATTCTGCACACTCACTCATTCTGCACACTCACTCATTCTGCACACTCACTCATTCTGCACACTCACTCATTCTGCACACTCACTCATTCCGCACACGCACTCATTCTGCACACTCACTCATTCTGCACATTCACTCATTCTGCACACTCACTCATTCTGCACACTCACTCATTCTGCACATTCACTCATTCTGCACACTCACTCATTCTGCACACTCACTCATTCTGCACATTCACTCATTCTGCACACTCACTCATTCTGCACTCACTCATTCCGCACACTCACTCATTCTGCACTCACTCATTCTGCACACTCACTCATTCTGCACACTCACTCATTCTGCACACTCACTCATTCTGCACACTCACTCATTCTGCACACTCACTCATTCTGCACACTCACTCATTCCGCACACTCACTCATTCCGCACACTCACTCATTCTGCACACTCACTCATTCTGCACACTCACTCATTCTGCACACTCACTCATTCCGCACACTCACTCATTCCGCACACTCACTCATTCTGCACACTCACTCATTCAGCACACTCACTCATTCTGCACATTCACTCATTCTGCACACTCACTCATTCTGCACACTCCCTCATTCTGCACACTCACTTATTCTGCACACTCACTCATTCAGCACACTCACTCATTCTTGCACATTCACTCATTCTGCACACTCACTCATTCTGCACACTCCCTCATTCCGCACACTCACTCATTCTGCACACTCACTCATTCTGCACACTCACTCATTCCGCACACTCACTCATTCTGCACACTCACTCATTCAGCACACTCACTCATTCTGCACATTCACTCATTCTGCACACTCACTCATTCTGCACACTCCCTCCATTCCGCACACTCACTCATTCTGCACACTCACTCATTCAGCACACTCACTCATTCTGCACATTCACTCATTCTGCACACTCACTCATTCTGCACACTCCCTCATTCCGCACACTCACTCATTCCGCACACTCACTCATTCCGCACACTCACTCATTCTGCACACTCACTCATTCCGCACACTCACTCATTCTACACACTCACTCATTCCGCACTCACTCGTTCCGCACACTCACTCATTCCGCACACTCACTCATTCCGCACACTCATTCATTCTGCACACTCACTCATTCCGCACTCTCACTCATTCTGCACACTCACTCATTCCGCACACTCACTCATTCCGCACACTCACTCATTCCGCACACTCACTCATTCTGCACACTCACTCATTCCGCAAACTCACTCATTCCGCACACTCACTCATTCTGCACACTCACTCATTCCGCACACTCACTCATTCTGCACACTCACTCATTCTGCACACTCACTCATTCCGCACACTCACTCATTCCGCACACTCAATCATTCTGCACACTCACTCATTCCGCAAACTCACTCATTCCGCACACTCACTCATTCCGCACACTCACTCATTCTGCACACTCACTCATTCTGCACACTCACTCATTCCGCACACTCACTCATTCCGCACACTCAATCATTCTGCACACTCACTCATTCTGCACACTCACTCATTCTGCACACTCACTCATTCTGCACACTCACTCATTCTGCACACTCACTCATTCTGCACACTCACTCATTCTGCACACTCACTCATTCTGCACACTCACTCATTCGGGCACACTCACTCATTCCGCACACTCACTCATTCTGCACACTCACTCATTCGGGCACACTCACTCATTCCGCACACTCACTCATTCTGCACACTCACTCATTCTGCACACTCACTCATTCCGCACACTCACTCATTCTGCACACTCACTCATTCTGCACACTCACTCATTCTGCACATTCACTCATTCTGCACACTCACTCATTCTGCACACTCACTCATTCTGCACATTCACTCATTCTGCACACTCACTCATTCTGCACATTCACTCATTCTGCACACTCACTCATTCTGCACACTCACTCATTCTGCACACTCACTCATTCTGCACACTCACTCATTCTGCACACTCACTCATTCTGCACACTCACTCATTCCGCACACGCACTCATTCTGCACACTCACTCATTCTGCACATTCACTCATTCTGCACACTCACTCATTCTGCACACTCACTCATTCTGCACATTCACTCATTCTGCACACTCACTCATTCTGCACACTCACTCATTCTGCAACATTCACTCATTCTGCACACTCACTCATTCTGCACTCACTCATTCCGCACACTCACTCATTCTGCACTCACTCATTCTGCACACCACTCATTCTGCACACTCACTCATTCTGCACACTCACTCATTCTGCACACTCACTCATTCTGCACACTCACTCATTCTGCACACTCCACTCATTCCGCACACTCACTCA